TGCCTGCACTTGCTGATATATCTATATCTGGGTATATATTTCTATCTCTGGCATTTGCCATCTGTTGGGAGTGTAATACCCAGAATAAGCATCTGGCACCGTTTCATATAGTAGGGCCTTTTGACAGCTGATGCTAGGGAATGCTGTACCTTTGGGGATTAAGGAGTAATTAATTAGGACAAGGAAAATGTACTGCAAAAAATGAAATTCCTGTATTGAAAGCAAGAGTTTCAAAGCACTCTTTGATTTAGTTTTCATCTGGCCTACAGCCTAAAACCAAACCTAATTTAATGTTTTTGGAGGGATCCCATCTTCATGTTTAGGGGAATTTAAAGGTGAAACATGTAAGATGTTAATAACATCACTTGTTAATTCCGCATCCAGAACCTTATAACACATCTACAGTTGCTCAAGTATTGAATTACAAACACTGAACACAGAGGGGAGTCACTTGAGAAAAGGTTCCAGAGAAATAGGCTGCAGGGGGTGTTGTATGCATCGTGTGGTGTGCTGTGGGTTACCCACAGGTTAATAGGTAAAAAAAGCATTGCAAACAGATGTGGCATTCAAGCTATTCAAAGCACAGAACATCTTCTTGGTTATCAGGTGGAATTATTCATTGTCCTCCAGGTTAGAAAGTATTTAAAACATTGCTACATTTATTTCACTCACTCAGAAACCTTCAAGGGCTCTTTTTATTTGTCTTTGCAGCCCTTTGCTGGGTGAAGAGCATGAATGAGTCTTTTTGACTGTTATTTTCTTCTGTTTGCAAAGCAGATCAATCCTATGTTGTGGGATCTAAACAGGTTTAGCAAAGGAAAAGCTACCACCTTTTCAGTCTTGCATCATGCAGGACAGAGGTACTTTGCTTTTTTGTTATGCATTGGTTTATGAGTGAATCAATCCAAACTGTAACCAAATACTGGCTGTAGTTAGGAGGTGTATAAAAGGATAAGAGAAAAGCAAATCAGTTCCTATTATTTAGGGCTGACAAACTGAGAAAGGGCATTTGAAATCAGAACTATATTCCAATTTATAAAATCTGTGAGGAGATAAATCATAAGCAAATAGAATGGTCTATTTTGCTACACATATGCACATATGCAGACATATATGCACACACGCAGACATACATGCACACACTCTTGATTTTCATTTCATACAACCATTTGGTTCCTAGCAGACATCAAATGAAATCTACAGCATCACTAATTTCATATGTTTCCATTTTGTAATTTTGTTTAATAGTCTCTAGGATGATATTTTGAGGATTTGGATTGCTTTTTTTAGCAGGACTAACTGCGTGTAGAATTTCACAGTGGAATCATATCCTGTTCTTCCAAGTAAATGTAATATATGTTTAGGAAAAAAACTTTAAAAAAATAACATTAACTTACAGGGTTTACATACACGTATGCAATTGTCTTTATTCCCACTGGCTTCATTTTAAATTCTGTAGAACCAGTAATTTCCCAAGCTTCTTGTTCAGAAGTCTCTTGTTGATCTTTGTTGTTCTCCTTACTCTCTGCTCATCTTGATGCATCTGAAGCACAGTTGGTGCAGCTGCACATCACACTGCCACATGTTAAGTTGTGAGACAGCACTGTTACTTGAGACCTGTATGAATTTCTCAGTGTAGGGCTGTGAGACAAGGGAACTAGGCCATTGGAGCTAGCTCAGCTCCTCAATGATGTGTGAAAATATCTATTACACTCAGATAAGTGGATATCTATACATCATTTCACCAGCCCCTGATGTGCAGTTGTGCTCAGAAGTGGAGCAAGGAAGAATCTCTATTCGAAGCAGCACTACAGAAAAAAAACAATCAAATCCAGAGATCCTGAGTGAGATACACACATGAAAATGGAAGCAAAACAAAGGCAAGGTAGAGACTGGTCAGATTGTGCGTGGAGGACCCTGGGGTCACAATTGTGCATTAGCCATTAGGGCATGGATTCAGAATGTAACCCAAAACACAGAGCTATCTTCAGCAGCTCTCAAAGTGGTAAATGGGAAACCACAGCATAATTTCAGAGATCTGTTCAGCTAGTTGTGTAAGCAAGGCAGTGACTGGTGGAGCCTGAAGGATGATCATAACCCAGCAGGTGCCCAGACACTGACACGACAGTTCTGGCCCGACTCCATCCCTCCCTTGTTGACTCACTGTGGGGATCCCTACCACACCTATGAGTCCTTGAGTCCTCTTCTTGCCAAATGCTCTGAGGACCAAAGGTAACTGCTGGATGCTTGTTTCATTTTCTCATTATTTGCAAATTTGCTGATATGGATTAAGCCTCATTCATTAGAGCTAAATGAGTTAAAATCATGATTAACAGTAATAAATGCAGCTGTTAGATTGTGGACTTTATTACCTGGGTTCTTTGGCAACAGTCCATTATTTCAACACAGCATCTGTTGACTTACTTCCTCTAGTCTTGTATGAGAAAATGAAAGAAAATAGTATAGGATATTGCTTTTGAAAATTCATGGCTGCATATGCTACTAATATTGATGATGAATTCAGTGGCTAAATCAAAAACAATCCATATGTCATATTTAAAATGAAGCAGCAACACGATAGAAAAAGTCCAACTGCACTACAGTGTAACAAAGAAAAGAAAAGAAAATAATTACATGAACTTCTTTAAGAGTCTTCAGTACAATGAATGTCATTTGTAGTTAATAGGATGGTGCCATCTGGACTATTGGGTGATGCAGATTCTGGCACTAGAGGTGCCATTCTTTTTGGAAAGCATGAGAAAAGTAGAAACTTTGAAAGCTGTTGCAAACAAAGTTTGACTGCATCTCTTTTGAATATATTAATGTTGGCTGTGAGCAGTAATCTGAGCAAAAACCTAGAAAGTCAGGTCCTCAGCCTAAAAAGGTCTCCTCTTATTTCTGCAGATTGTAGATCAAGGTTTAAAATACATTAGTTATATGTATTTTATCTGTATAAATGTAACCACAGAAAAAGAGGTGAAATGCCTTTTTACAAGATCTTTTCTCATGCATTCCAAAAAGTTATGCATTTCTTGATTACTACTTTATATGTGAAGTCCTGAAGTCAAAGATAGTTTGAGGCAAAGAGAAAGCAAACATCTAAATTTTCAAGATAGTTTAAAAACTAATTACTGCTCATTACTTAGGTTTCAAAGCAGACCACAGAACAGCAAATAAATGAAAAGCAGGTACTTTTCCCCAAGTATGTTTTTTACTGTACATTTTGTAGCAAAAGAAAGGAAAAGAAAGGAAAAAATATTCTCATTACAGGGATGTCATTTTCTAAAACTCCAAGTAAGAAACGTGACAAATACAAGATCAAGTACACAGCCATGTCACAATATATCTCTGCACCTTTAAAAAAAAATATACATAGAGTTTTTTTCATGTGTTATTATCTCTGTGCCTTGCACCCTTTCTCCACATCTTTTACAAAATCATAGTAACAGTGTGCAACTTCAGAATGGTTCCCAGCAGCTGATCGTTGGGAGCCAACAAATAAATAAGCAAATGAAAGGACAGTTGCAGTAGCCACCAGAATGCTGGAAATCACAGTTAAAGACAATGAATTCAGCTGGGTGGGCTGTGTGTATTTCCACAACCACAGCAATGATCCTCAAAAATGAATTTGAGATTCAGTTTAGAAGCCCTAGAGAGCTCCTGTTCTTAGTTAGCAAATCCCTTAGTGAGGGTGAGAGACAGGAGGGCAGGAGTATAGCAGGGACTGCAGAAGGGTCATCTGTAATGCAGGGGACACATGGAAGACCTCCTACTCTGAGACACCCAAATTTAACTCTGTTTCTGGGGTTCATTTGGAACTTATTCAATCTTCTGAAATACATAAACCCTTACATTTCTTGTGAAGCTACTGAGACAGTAAAGCTGTGTCATGGCAACTGTACAAAGAGCTTTTGTGATAATAGGGTGAAAATCTGTTTTCTTTGTCAGCTGAATGGATTGACAGTGTGACTTTTGCCAGAAGCCATTGGTCTTCATAATGTGGATAGTCAACGGAAGCTAATTTTGTTTTCCCTTTCTATATCCTTTAATAGGAAATCTTGATTACTGTCTTTGATAGCAGCACCCCTACAGATATCAATAGCTGCTGCAATCTGCCTTGAGCATTGACAAGCAGAGCCTATGAAGAAGATGGAAGAAAGAGAATGGGTTTTAAAAAATTTATTAGCCCCTAGATTTAATTTTTCCCTAGGACACAAAGAGGTGGCATTGGAGGCGCATTATGCAGTACATCAGAAATTGGACCTTTGTACATATCCTCCTTTTCATTTGGGGGATTTGGTGAGACTGAAAACAAAACCGAAAAATGCATGGAAACACGCTTTCTACTGTGGGGAAAAAAACAACTCAAAAGCAGTAACAAGGCAAAACAGAACAGAAACCATTAATCCAAATCAAAATCCCACTCAGCTAGCATTGTTTTCCCACATGTCACAGTTAACACCATGAGATTATGCTGAACAATTTGTTCTGATCTGTCCCTGTGGATGCCTTGCTTGTACTTTTGAGAAAGTTACCTGCAATGACAACCAGATATATTCTAGCACCACCCTTATATCCACAGAACTGTATTTCTGCAGTTAAAAGAAGAGTTGCTCTTTAAAAATAAAACAAAAGAAACAAATATCCTGTAAAATTAAATTTGTGCTGTCAAAAATCCCTTTTCGTCCTCCTTGTTTTATCTTGTGTGATGGTTCACCAAGAGTCTGAGTAACTTTTGGTAAGTAATACTAAATACAACTAGCAAATTCCTGGAAATATTCACGCATGGTTTAGTTGGGGCCAGACAAGAATGGCGCCATACGTGCCTATTCACATTTCATGACTTTTTTCTTTTAGTATCCCTGTTACTTACTTGTTTACCTATCTTTTTGGCCAGTACAACTGAAAACATATCCTCCCCTCTCTTTCCAAATACATGGCCCTGCAGCAAACCATGCTTTTAACACGAGAGGAGAAGAGGAGAGGGGAGACACTGGTATTTACACTGTGCTTTCCATTACCCACTCTGAGCTCCCAAAAGTCCCTTTTGCCCCTGTTAGGTCATTGTCATCATACTGCAAAAGCATGCCATTCACCGAGAGGCTCCTCTTTGTCCAAATGTTTGTTATCTTTTTTGGGTAGGTGCAACACTGAGATGTGGCGAAGTCCCCCATGTCAAAAGAATGGCTACGTTTAGTTTTGCCCTCCAGAGGCAACATGAGGAGGCTGCGAAATTTGGACTCTGGCTGGCCCAGTAGTGGCTCTTTGTCCGAGTGGCGGGCCACTGTGGAAGTTCTGGAGTCTGTCATCTCCTCCTTTTTCTGACATTTCAGTTCCAGGGAGGCAAAAGCTCCCATTAGCCGGTCAATGTTGTGTTTTGACCTGGAGGGAGGCCTCCACTTACTGGACAATGTGCCCTGTTCACTTTGGAGGCTGTAGCCATCACAGTCACGGCTGTTTGCGGAGCTGGAGGAAGAGGAGATGCTGCTCCGCACAGACTGACAGTTAAACTCCATGAGTTCATTTCTCACCACCACTTTGGGGTTGACTTGGGGCAAGACTCCATTCTGCACTGGTTGAGATCCATTTGTCTGCGAGTAGACGTTGCTGACGTTAGACATCTTCCCCTGGGAATTGTTGCAGACCTTATAACGGACCATGAGGATGACAATGAATACCAAGAGAGTTGCCACAATGATGCCTCCGATGATCAGAATCATGGTCCCACCAAGGAACTGACTGTGCATGGACTGGCACTGAGGGTAGTCTTCTTTGGTGAAGAACTGGGCGCATCCCACAATATTGGTGGCAGTAAGGGTCGTGGCTGTGTCATCCCACATTGCCAGGACGCAGAGGTCATAGCCTGTTCCAGAAACAAGGTTGTTTACAACAAAGGCTTTGTTTGTAGCTGGAATCATCCTTTAAAAGAAAAAAAAAAAAGAAAAAAAAAAGAAAAAAAAATGGTTACTCTTGACACTAAGGGAGAAGAGAGTAGAACAGATATAAGAACAGTGTGGTGTTTACTGTTCTGTGTACTGGCAGAGTGGAGTCAGAGCCACAAAATTCAAACAAGCATTCAAGCTTCTCAGCTCCTGTGGGTCCAACACACGGGCATTCAATAATGCACAAGCTTGAGGGCCATCTCTCCCATGTGCAATAAAGGGAATAAGAAAAAGCAGACCCTCTAGTCTGGGGGTTGTTTGCTCCTCGCTTGCATCTGTCCTAACTTTAAATACACCCAAACTTGAAGAAATAACTCAATAAAAATATATGCCTACAAAGAACGAACACTCTACAAAGAGTGTGCAAATGACCCTGGCTTTTGCTGAGTCAGCACCTGGCAGCTGTCACCTTGCTTCATGGGTGCCTGCACATTCACTCTCTAACATCAGCAGGTTGCTTACCTTGTGAAGACAAGGGGCTGCATTTAGTTTTCTTATTCCCTGAGAATGCAAGGCAGGCAATGACTTATCTCTCTTTCTTCACTCTCCTACCTACTTTCCCCATCCTCCTACTCCCCACTGTGGAAAATATCTCCAAGAAATGCAACTATCATCTTCTTTGCCAGAAATTTCTTCCTGCCACCACATTCCTCTGTGTCAGTGGGAAAAAAAAAAAAATAAAAAATCTAGCATTGGCAGTATGGGCTGTGGAAGTGTGAGGAGAGGTAGGAAGATGAAGGGATGGAAACAAGAAGGTTCTTTTAAAATAAAAAGTTCTACTTAAGTAAAAAATCCATTTTTAAAACCCAGATAGCCCAAGCTGTGCTCCAAGTTAGGTCATTTATGTAAATTATTTTATATTGCCACAAAACTTAAGCAGTCATTTGAGATCATGCAATATTAGAGCATCACTAGCATTCAAAATTATCAGATGGGAATAAACATGGTCTACCCCCACTTAAAACTGGCAAAAATTGCAGCACATGAATGGAATACAGTGGATAATCCCAGATTTGGTGCCTGGTGGGTAGCCACAAATAAAACCAAAGAGATACCCCATGCATGTTTCTCTTTATTTCCATGTAAAGGCTTAAGAAAGAAAAAAGCTGAAATTTAAACTGGCCCATTCTGACTTAGAGCTGCAGCACTTTAGCAGCAGCAGTAAGGGAGCCCTATAGGCACTTACACCACACAACAAGCTGGTGTGACTGTAATTGGAACAGTAAGGCCTGGCCAGAGGAAAAAGTCATATTCCTCAGGGGAATGCCAGGCTTTCTCAGCCTCAAATCTCCATCACAGCTAGCATAAATTGCAGCTCTGCAGAGGCCCTCCTGTGCAATGGGAGGGAATGGACCTGCACAGAGAAGCAGCAATGTCAAGGCGCTGCAAAGATGGGCTTCAGATCATCTTTGCACTTATGCATTCACACCACTTACACAACCCTTTATTCTGGCCACAGGCGAGGATGTGGCTGCTTTTTAAAAAGCAAACAAACACACAAAAAATTCTGTAAGGAAAAAAAAATATCAGTGAGAGACATCTGGAATATAAATATCACCTGGCACGTTTACTTGGTCTTATATTTGAGATTTTTGGCACATTTATCGTCTTAATGGAGATGTTCTGAGTATAGAGAAGTTACTCACAATAAGCTGAGAAGTCATAAAGCAGCCCTCCTGGGAAAACTCCAGATACAGTGGCTAAAATGTTTTCTAATAGTCAAAATGGTTGGTCTCAAGTTGTTTTTAATTGTTCTCTTCTCCCTATGGCTCTGAGAACACACCACTGGCTGATATATGGGATACACCAAGGTTGATATATGGGATAACAAATACTATTGATCTTTGAATGTATGATCTTAAAACTCTTGAACAGTTTCATCAGTTGCTTCATATCTCTCTTGGTATCACCTAGTGCTATACTCTACTTTGTACCATCACTCCCAGCTACAGGCTTAAAAAATGCTGCAGTAAGTAATTCAGAAATTATTTCACTGTGAAACCTCATCACAAACAAGGAGCACTGTTAGCAGAAAGAATAGTCAGCTCTATAAACTGGGTCTCAGATCATAACTCTGAAGAAACAGAGCTATATCAGCATCTGTTGTAGTGGTTCCTTTTGTTCTGCACTGATGAAACACACAGAGACCTCTATATTCTCTCCAAGTAAACAATAAACAACTGAGTTTACACAATATATAGCTTTACACATTTCTTGCACTCACAGAAATACAGTCTAACACACTGTGCCAATATATATAGAATGAACACTGATAGCTTCAATCATTTACAACTTGCATTCTTCAATATGATTACACACAAGCTTCCAAGGAAATGCAACTGCCTGGAATATTTCAGGGATGGTAAGATAGTGACAGTGGCACAAAAGGTAAAGCCAGTCCATTTTTAAATATACAGCAGTGAGGCCATAACCAGTTCTAAATCTTGCCCAGGTTAACTGTATTGAAATTTGCCATAAAAGCTCATCTTAGCCCTTTTAAGAAACTGAGTCATTTCTAAACTCAATCAGTCCTGGAAGATACAGCTGTGATAATATTTGGTCTAATAATAGCTTTACAAAAGTTCACAGTTGCAATCCCAATTCTGGAAAAAGCAATCAACTTTCCATATACATCTAAAAATTAAGAATTTTGGATGTTTCCATAAATAAACTTCAAAAGTTCTTGTAAAATATTCAAATTAATGTTATTGTTAAATAACAGCTGAGCATAGGAATAAGCACCAAGTTCAAGAATACTAGAAGTTAAGTAATTGATCTTAGACTCAGTTTTTTAGCTTGCAGTGAAGACAATCTTGTTTTCATGAAGTTGCTGAATTTTAAGAGTATTTTGACATTCCTCCATGCTTTAGCCCACCCACTCTCCCCAAACATACTGCCAGTCAGCTATGATGGATGACATCTCTTAACATTCCCCACACCTAAAATCAATGCAGACACATTTTTCACTTTGGAATATTGATGACTCTCTGATTGTCCCCAACAATCCAGGTAGCCACAAGATGCCCCTTCAGTCTTTGCTTTACTGCTGAACAGGGGGAGTCTCTTCATGGCTGTTCTGTATGTCTAGCACAATTAATCATGGGCCACTGTGTCCTACTGATAATAATTACCTCAATAAACAGGAGCTGCCATAGACCTTAAAGGGGTCATTAAAGCTGTGTCTGGGCAGAGATTCTGCAAGGCTTTAGTCTGTCAACTCATGAGCTAAACACAGAAAGCTGGTTTCAGGTACCAAGAATCTATAGCTTAGTTCACTGAAGATCAAAAACAGCTTTTGAAAATTGTCAGATTTTGAAACTCAGAAGGTCCTAGTGCTCACTTCTAAACCCTCAGATAGCAAACATACTTAATTGCAGCAGTATCTTGAGGTAAGGAGCCTGATACTGTCCACCTTCTCTTCAGGGCTGTGTGATGTTGCAGAGATGATTCTTATCACAGAAGAGAAATAGAGATTTAAACTTGATACTACCCTTTCTTTAGGGGAAAAAAAAGAGTAACAGGTGATTAACTGCAAGAGGACATCAACTAGCAAAACTCTTGCTTATTTTTAAACTAGTAATAGGTTATGACAGGTTTTAATGTGTACAGTTTAAGGAGCTCAAAACCAGGAAGGACTGGGAAAGCAAACAAACATTCAAATGTTTTAATAGCGTAAGTGTAACTGTAGTCCTAGCTAGAACAACAAGAGATTTGAAAGTCTCCTTACAGAAATTTCATTGTCCAGACACATAAGACACAATATTTCTGCCTTTCTCCTTTGGTTTATTTTCCTTGGGGTAGGAGGAGCAGGCAAATCTCCTTCACATTGGTACCAGGATTTTGTTACCTGATTTTTAATCTAGTTTCTGAATCCTATGTAAAGGTCAAAATACTCCAAGGAGAACTATTCATATAAGAACATTATCCCACTGAAAATCTTGCCTCTAAGGAATGAAATGAGCACAGGGGTCTTACAGTTGACCTTCTACAAAAAAAAAAAAAGAATCCCTCTTCTTTCAACCTTTGGCATAATACCATCACTTCCTGGAAGAGGAGGAGACAGATGACCAGCACTGGGGCATGGCATAAGCACCTGAAATTGAACAGCAATAGACTGATGCACCTATGAGAGTTTGTGTGTGATAAAGAGCTATGAAGCCGAGAGGAAAGTTTGCAGGGCTTTTGCAAACAATACGTTCCCTTCAGTATGTGGAGATTTATGCCTCATTTTGTGAAAGCACCAAAATGAGACCATGAGACCCTTTTTTTTTTATGTTAAAAAAAAAAATGGCTAGTCATAGCACCCTTCTTTGAAGTCAACCTTATTTTCTGCCACCACCTTGTGTGTCCTTGTAGACACGACATATGGAAATAAGCAATTTTGTAATTACTCACTTCAGTGTGTGGTGATATTAAGAAAATTAGAAAATGAATTACTTAGAAATGCAGGAGAAAAAGGTTTGCTGCAGACTTCACTCATAATCCCAGATGCAAGTGAGCACTGAAGCTTGCAGGGAATGAACTGTGATGAGAATTTAGGAGACATGAGTTTTATTCTTTATCAGTTACACTGATATCAGGCTCTACTTTATCAGTAGCTCTCAGTTCCCAAGAAATCATTTTGCTGTACTGTAAGTCTTCTCATTTATAAAATGGGGATAATGCCAGCAATCTCCTTTCAAAAGAGGCCTGTAGTGTATGGAAGGAAATTAGTAGATATTATGATTACACTGTAATATACAAATGGGTTCTTTTCTTCTTTGTAGCACTGGGGATTAGCAGGAGTGAACTGCTGGTTAATACTGTGGTTATGCAAAACAGACAAATTAGAGAAAAGGCAGATTAGGGTAATTGGCTAGGCAATTCTGTTCCTTTTCTCCATCCATAGAGGGATATGATAACATCTAGTTTTAGCCTGAAACTGCTTTAATCACAAAACTTGCAGGGAGCTGTCATGGCAATTCCTTTGGGAAGGCACTTTCAACTCCCAAAACTCAGTTTTAAAATAACCTGCTAGACTATATTGCTTTTCTCATGGTCCCTTTTTTGTATTATCAAGGGCTACATACTAACAACACAGCAATACAAATTCTCCTTTTGAATTGGATACTAGGAGTTTAAAATGGAAAGTCATGCTAATTTAGTAAATACTTGTTGTGGAGGAAAAACAAAAGCCCACTAAAATAAAAACAGGCCTAATTGTTTGGGTGTGAATTCTCTGTGCTTAACCCATACTCTCCCTGTGTCTGTGTTTACCCGTCAAGTTCCAGGGCAGACAACTCACAAGAAATAGTTCATATCTCTTCTGGTAAATGCTCTTTTCTTCCAGATTGACTTCATGACTTCACAAATCTGTATTTCAAAAATAACCCTTGGAATATTAACTCCTGAACCACGCTGGGAAAAACATGTGAGGAACTGTACCGAGCATTAAGAATATAGATGGTGGAGTTCTGGGGCATGGGAATGCTTCTGAGCCCTTATTCATTTAACAGTACAGCCATTGCCCATGAAGGAACTGCTAAGCAGCAGTAATAAACACTGTCACTATGCACTATAGATTGCAATGAAGGAGGGAAAAGAAAGAGGGGTGCCAGAGTGCAATAGTGTTCTGTAAAACCATAGTCCAGCTAGTTAGCACTTTCCTGCATAATAATGCTTTAGTGTGAAAATATCAATCTCACCCCATTATTCGTATTCTCAAACTTCCTCTTACACAAAGTTGAATTCACACAAATGCAAAATATTCTGCTGATTGCTTTCAGTGCTAGGAATTGATCCAGAAAAGTTTAACACTGGAATCTGACCAGAAGGACTGAGTACTCAGAGGGTGGAGTTCATTGCCTGAAGAAGGACCTCATAAAGTATCCTTTACAGCCTAGTAGATGTAGCTCAATGGCACAGGGATCTTTCCAGCTATCAGACAGAGGCAGTCATAAGGTGTTATTTCATTGAGGACAGGTAAGGGAAGATGAAGGAAGAGAAGGACAAAGTGAGAGACAATGCAAGAAAAGAGGTTACTGAACACTGGTGGCTTTGGCAGTGTTGGAGCAGCAGAAAATGATAGAAAGACAAACAGGTTCAAAGAAACCATTGACAGGGCACTATCAGGCATGTGGCCACCATCAAAATGATGGAAGAAGTCCAGGTGGCCACTGAATGGGAATCAAGATCACAAAACCATCTCAGTATATGGTTGAGTACAATCAACCACAGGTGAAGATGTTCCAGCAAAACCAAGACAATTAGAAAGGCAGTAAAGTGAATCAAGTTCAGATAGTGGACAGATATTAAGAAGGCTGAGGAAAAGGGCAAAAAAAGATCAAAGGGAGACTAGAAAGATCTAAATGGAAGTGAAAATGTCACATGTGATGTATTGCCTGGGAGTAAGAGCAAGTAATTGACAAATTTGAACTGCACACTTGGCGTTCCTCTCTGCAGCCAACTTTTGTAATTTCCTTGAAAGTTTTATAGTGTATACTGATATGCTGCATTTTTACACAAGAAAACCCCCGTTTCTGCAGTCAGTGAATGAAGGTGGAGTCTAAAATGTTATTAAAAATTAAGCAAGCTAACAATGGATATTAATTTCTGACACTACAACTTTCAAAAAAAAGCCCTTGAGTATGTATCTTCAGATCATCCTAAAGCCTCAGAAATGGAAAAACAAATACAAAGTACTAAGTATATTGCTGTGTGAGATCTCGCTGTCTTTTGGCACTTGATTCAAGATATTTTAATCTAAGAATCTGAGAAAGACAGAGACCTACTGTGGCCTGCATCTCAAAAAAATGACAGTTGTATTTCTGGTGTCCTGGGAAAAAAGATAGTTGCTAGTACTAGCAACAGGGCGTAATTCCTCTATCACTCATGTCAACATAAGGAAATGTCAGAAAATACCAGGAGGTAGCCAGACTTGCTCAGTAAACAGTAACTCAACCCAGCATGAATAATTTCCTGCATTTTTTATTTTATTAGTTTTGGGGGATTTTGTGACATACTATTGTAATTTTGCCCTCAGATGGAACATTTATTATTAAACACAAATCCCTTCCTGCTTTTCTGAATCTAGTCTCCTCATCACTCAGGCATCCAGCTGCCCTTCAGAGAATATGTCTTGTCAAATGAAAGACATAGTATGTATCGTTTCATTATTATTTCCTAATTTGCTTATGCTCTTTTATACTCATTTGGAAAAGCGGAGTGGGAGGTGGGGAAGACAAAACCTAAAGCAATTGATATGTCTGTCACAAGATGGTGAGCCAGGGAGATACTGATAATGAATATATCCCCTGTGCTACAGGGGAAAAACAAAACAACCCCCAAATATTAAACTGCTAGCTCAGAGGATATAAATTCCCAGTTATATCTGACAGTGTCCCCTGGGGATGCACTGAAGTCGTGCAGCAGGTGACAGCACAAAGCATAGCCTTCCAGGGGACATTGCTGCACATGGCTGAGAAGGGGGAATTCTGGTATGGTTCAAAATATTCTGCTCCCTTCTATTAGCCATTTCTGTAAGAGGAAACACTCCTCTCTCTGTCATTCCCAAGCAGATTCTTGCAAACAATAGGGAGCCACAGGCAGGAAGTATTGGTGAGGCACTTCTGGATGAATGAAGCCTACCAGAACCATCCAGTAATGCTCTGAATCAATTAAAGCGTTCAGATTAGTTGTCCAGGTGCAAACTACTGCACTGGGACAACCTCATTTTGGTTCCTGTCGGTATGGCAACACAAAATTAGACTTTCAAGCTCAAGCTCCCTGATCAATCTTATAATTCCTTTCACATGGACATGACAGCAGTAGTCATTTAGTGCTCCAATCATTAAATTTTATCTTTAAAGGGAATGCAGACATGCTCTAGCAACATTTGACAGCACAAAAGATAAATCTGGTCACACAAGCTATTCAGCTACACACAAAACACCTTTCACTTCAATATATCTGAGATACCATCTCAGAAAAAAAAAAAATCTCTCACACTAATCCAGATCCAACTAAAACATAATTAAACTCATTAGCAGAGTAATTGAAAGCCCATACGGTATTTCTGCTACTATATGTGAAGCTGAAGTATTTATGAAAACAATGCATAGCCACACTGATAAATTCATTCTGGGTCATGTTAATGCAGAGTTAGAAAGCTATCATAATTCACAGCAATGTTTCAAAAAGCCAGATAGTAAAATCTGAGATTAATCAACAAATGTCTAAAGTCAGTAAATTACTCTAATAGTCACAACAATGTTACAGCCACCTCTTTTCTAAAGATGAGATACACATTATCCACAAAAGGTTTGTTCAAGTAATCAAGCAGAGTGTGGGACCTAGGACACTTTTCCCAGGTTTTTACAGACAAGTAGCCCATACTCTTCGCTGAAGTGTCATGTTTATTCTCTCTGACTCAAGTGATTTTGAACTCTTCTATGCAGTTGGACACTTACCCCAGAAAAGGTCATCCTACCCTACCAACAGGGGTGCCCAGAAAAGAAACAGCATTAGGATTTAGGAGCACATTTTAGGAACTCAGAGGAAATTAATTTGCAAAAGGGATTCTGCTATTTTCCTGGCAGAACACAGCTGTGAGATTCAGCAACACACTCTCCTTTCTTGAGAGTTACAAGTGGGGCTTTCCACTTATTTCCAGGCAGTAAAATCTGTGCAAAAAGAGCTGACTGGGATCCTATAGTGGTTAATAGCTGCCCATCCCCTTTTCCTGTAAGAAGTGAAGGGGATTTTCAGAGGCTTACTGGCAACTTTGTTCATGCTTACTATGCAAAGCACTTATGCTAGATTGCAACTCATATGTCCTGCAGAAACTCTGTGTCCTATCGTACAATCTAATTTTATCTCCAGAAGGTTGTGCTGGAATGACAAAATCTCCAGGCACTGCTTGAAGTTATGTTTGCCTGTGTTTTATAATTGACTGGTCAAAGCAAATTCCAGCATGCTGTTTCAGGCTCTTCTGTCACAAAATCTTTGTGCACTGGTGAGAGAAGTGTGGTGCCAGCTAACAGCTGACGGGACTATTCTAACTATTCCAATGAGAAGAAATCATCTTAGGAGTCAATTAGAGGTCTCACAACCCACAGAAACTGCACACACTCATATCAGTCTGCATAATAAACCAGTTTGAGACAATTTATGCATTGTTAAAAAGTTTAATCATATATCATGTAAGTGTTCCCTGACCTCAGTGATTTAGTTTCTTGTGGATAGTCTCAAGAGATTAGGAATGGTTATCTACCAGAAGCTTGAGCATCTCTCTCATCAGGAAGCTGAAAAAATTAGTTTAATTCCAAGTGGAGAGGAAGGGATAACTGCGTTTACAAATTATCCAAAAATAAGCTAAGGAAATACCAACTCATGAAAAACACAGCCAGAGTATGCCTATATTGACAGAACAACAACCCCAATTTAGAAATATGAAAAAGTGTTTATTTGGAGAGATTTTTACCATCACAGGCAGGTGAAAAAGCAATCAGGGAAACCGTAAAATTGAGGAGCCAACCCTCTAGCCTCTCAGCAAACATTGGAAATATCTTTTACTGTATAAAATGGATACAGTAGAACTGCTTGCTTCTTGTAAACAGAAAACTTATTGAAAAATAATAAGGGAAAGTTTGAATAATAAACTTTTAGTATCTGCCATCAAGCTTTTAGTTTCTGAGTTAGGAGAGGGACAAAATCTTTTGCAGTAAAAATCTGTGAAATATGCACAGCAATGAACAAGGTAAAGAGAACCAGGATGATTCAGGGTGATCTTTGCAATAGCAATATTTTTTTTTTTCATTTGCAGAATG